AAGTATATATACAGAAAAAAAGAGAAAAGGTAAGATGACCTTGGTTGAGGGATTTTACGAGTAAATATTAAAAATAAACTCAGGATGAGTCAGGAACAGGTCCAGGAATGGAATTGCCGAAGAAAGATTCCCATTCAGAGCCAGGTGAGAAGCAATGCATTTATCATTGTGATTTTAAAGAATAGCATGAGTTAGCTAGTGTAAGGGGGGAAACACATTTTATTTTACAGAAATAGCTGAGCTTAGTGCCAAAAGAGCAGAACAGTGGCGGAGGTCTAGGTGCAGTGTGAAAGGTAGAGCAGAGCAGGAGAGCCAGCTAAGGGGTCACAGGGACATCAGTGTTTGAGGAGGAGACAGAGACAGCCATCCCTAACAGGAGACAGTGCAGGTGGAGGGGCTTGCTGCTCGATTGGAGAGTCTGAGCATAGTGGCTCAGAGAGACAGATCACACTGTTAATTTCAATGGTCCTGTGCTGCCTGTGGCCAACAAAAATGACTGATTCAGATTAAGTGAATGTTGTGCGTTTAATTCCAAAAAGGAAGGCTTGCTCAGAGAGAGCAAATTATCTGCCAGCAGATTGAGAGGGCAGAGCATCCCCAAAGTATCTAACCTATTCCATCTCTTACAATGGAAGGGAAAAAATTGTTAGGGACCTGCTAAAATACAGCAGGTCAAAAAAGGCCTTATTTTGCCGTTCTTGTTGTTCTCCTATACAAAGAGTTTTATGAAAGATTTCCAGGGCATGAAAGAAACTGTGCACGCAAACATCAGACATCCCAAGTTCCAAAACCTCCTTTCAGGTAGATGCTTATCGAACCCGCCGAACACCCCCCCATCCCCCGCAGTCACCCGACCCGCAACCGTGCCCTATACATACACACTTCATTATTCTTCACCTTCACTAGACATGGATATATTTGAGTATATTCTGCTGTAAAATGAGTCTTATATTTTCGTTTTTTTACATCAGGATTCAACCCATTTCACACTAATCACAACTTTAAGTGGTATCTAGGTGACTGTCAGAGAGTACACCAAAACTTATTAGCTTATTTCTCTGACTAATCCAATCAGCGCTCTCAAACAACCAGTCGCCTGGAACGCTTGTTGAACAGAGCATCGCTTCGTACAGATATGCACAGGTTTCATACCTCAAAGGCAGCCACACGAAAAAAAATTGACTTTTAACATTTTGATATAAAACATTTATTTTATCCTACATTGATGGATACAAATGTAAATAGTATTTTCTTTCAGAAAAGCACCTACACATTACATGTGATTTCAGCGTTTTCTTGGATGTTTTAGGGAAAAACGAAATTGAATTATACAGAGTAATTTCACAAACATTATTAAAATATTTTCATACTTCATTTCTTGACTTTTCGTTTTCTAATTTAACAACATTAGTACCTTTAAAGTCACAGAAAAGAATCTGACTTTTTTGGGAACATGGGACAGCCGCCACGCAGAAGCTTTTGTTCCAGTCCATGTGAGGGAGTGACAGCAGGCAGAGTCAAAGCAAACAGGAAGAGGAGCCACATCATTTTGTAAACTTGAAGATGCTTAGTCTGGGAGACCTACAGTATCAGTTTAAACTAATTCACTGATCTAAAGAAATCATTTACAGTCAATAACACGCTTTTTATAGAGTAAAGTGTAACACAAAGTCTTCACAGAGGTTCAAAACACAATGCAGACATATAGAAGCATTACTTGAATAATCAAACGACACAAGGTGTTGGACAAAACAAATATTATTGAAAGAAACCACCAATATGACATGTAACAACACAGCTATAACCAAGAGAACTCCCCCCCCCAACACTGTAATATTGTGTTTTTGCTTTGAACTCTTTGTTACTTCAGAGTTCTTCATATTTTACTGCATTACGTGCATGCGGAGTGAGCAAATTTTATTACTGGCATGTGCAGTGCTATATCAACCTATTCACAAATATCTGGATGTGCTTCTCCAACAGGTTTGATTAATGATTTTTCCACAGCAACCTTTACTCTTTATGGGACCAACTAACCCTCTGTGGCTTATCACTAAATCCATGGTATCTCATCTCCTGGGATCACAATGATTCCTAGGAAATACCTTTATAGTTCCTATGGTTTGATAAACATTAACATTCTTGCTTAAGACATAGCAGATACGTTGGTAAGGCTTTTTCTGTTCCATTGGAGGTCCTAACTCACACCTATAAAATAATGTCTGTCTTTAGACTTTAATTGCACTTTGCCCCACAGAATGGAAAACATACATTGTCTTCTCCTTTTAAAAGTTCAGTCACTAAGCTGCTCAGTACATGATTTAAGTAATTTTAAGTTGTTTCATCTTGCATTTGCAATCACCTCAAACTGTATAACAACAGGTGGTTCATTTTATAAGTTTGCATAAGTCCATTTCTGGTGAGAGCTCGGCCCAGAATTGTTCCTGTTCATTGATATGTTTACATCTTCTTATCCATTTAACTTCTTTTGGACAAAGAAACGAATGGTGATACAAAAGAATATTTTTTTTCCTCCATGTCTTAA